ACATAAACTTCCTCCACCACTCACTGTCTTGTCAGCTTTCTCGATTACATTACCGCCATCTCGAGAACGAAAACGTCTGTAGCTGTCGCCTTCATTGATTTCTAAAGCGTTCAGTCGACCACAATATAATCATAAACAAGCTATTGACCTCGGGCTTCGGAGAAGTCTCATACCATAGCTACAGACTTCCTCAGTGACGACCCAAGCTGTACGCTTCCGAGGGCTGTCTCACCTTTCAGTCACTCACCTGTGGCGTCCCCAAGGCACCAAGATGGGACCACTCTGCTTCCTTATGCTCATCAATGATGCCTAAGAAAACCCCTGCTCGCTGGAAATATGTCGATTCACCAGGATCAGCGTCAACAATTCTGCTCCCAACTATACCGCCCTTCAGGTTTATTGAACAGTCTCAAAACTGGGACAACAACCACGTCACCATCAACCATACCAAGACCATGGTTATGCACATCAACCTCTCCTCCGACATTCTCCTCCTTCCATTACCTAGGTCCGAACACACTCAGGTTGTAGATTCACAAGCTCCTCGGCGTCACCATAGACAACAAACTAAATTGAAACCACACGTCAGTGAAGTTGTCAAATCCTCAGTTTCCGTCTCCACCTCCTCCGCCGACTCAAGTCCCTCAGGTTCACACGAGCTCCTCAGTGTATACACATTCATACTTCCCAAGCTCACCTATGCCTCCCCACCGGTCTTCCTCCTAAATGCCACACAACGTAAACACCTAGAAAAAGTGCAAAGAGGGCATGCAGATTATTCTCTCCCTTCCTACTCCACATATCAAGAAGCGCTCAACACACTGACCCTTTCGACTCTCACTGACCATCACCACGGCCTCATCTGCAAATTTGGTAAGAAGCTTCACCACCCCCGACACCGGCCCCTACACCACCTGAGATCCCCTGTCCGAGAATTGCTGTTCGACACCACAACCGCATCCAGCCCATACGTGCACGAACGATCGCTATAAGAACAGCCCAGTCCCAACCATTGTAAAATTATCAATAACATGTAATAAATCAGTGTATACTCCCAGTAAACACTGCTCCTACACTGTCACTATGTTGAAATGAACTGTAGTTTGAGCTGATCCCCATCTAAGTTATTATATGTCTTATTTGTGTCACTTATGTCACTTGTATATTATTTGTAACTCGTAACCCATTCCCCAAATATGTAACTGTATATTTTCAGCCTTCTGCTGCCAAGCTCTTTCAATAAACCGTTAATTATTATTATTATTATTATTATTATTACACACACACACACACACACACACACACACACATTCTTCCCTTAAATTAAATCTTTCATATAGATGTTGGCTTTAAAGAAGGAGTGTAAAACTATACAATCTTATTAACTTATACACGTTTTTTCATTTAATAATATAATAAAAACTCTCGTCAGAATACTGCTCTAAGGTGACATTTTAATTAAGAATTTACCTTCTGACTTGTGTGACTTTATCTTGTAATAAACGCTAAGGGACGATTAATCTTGAAGCAACATTTAAAATTTTGCTGAGGAAAGACTGAAGCAAGTAGTGCCTTAACACCATCAACCTGACGTGACTTGCTGTTGCTGAGCTGTGGACTTGCTGGGGTGTTGGCGGAGTTGCTGGGGTGCTGGTGGCTTGTTGGAGTGGTGGTGGATTTGTTGGGATGGAGTTTTCTGGGTGGAGGTGGTGCTGGGGTGTTCTGGGTTTGTGGGGTGTTCGTGGGTTTTCTGGGTTGGTGAGTTTCCTGGGGTGGTGGTAGATGCTGAGATGCGGGTTTTCTGGGTGGTGGGTCTAGCGGGCTTACTGGGGTGGTGCTGGATTACTTGTTGGTGGGTTGGATAAGTTTACTCGATGGTGGCTTGCTTGGGTTGCGGATTTGGTGTCGAATGGCTTGATAGATCAGTGACAAACTCAGACTTCGTAAAGTGACTGTCTTGGGAGATGACACTGAATGGATGACTGATTGTCTTATTCGGGCGACCGGCAAGTTTATGACCGACTGGCCGGCTGGGGAGATATAGTTGCCCACTGGAGCAAACAGAATGATGGATGACCCCCTTTTCCCCGAAGCAGCCACTTGCAAGGGCTAGCTGAAGCACACCACGACACACCCCAGAAAAAAAGTGCCTATCATTCTCAAAACACTCAATAAATACCTCCCTTTTCCTTTCTGCTTTCATCCTTCTCCCAGTCTACATCAACGTAGTCAAGGAGAAAATAAAACTCCCAACACGCAGCAAACATTTCTATCTTCCTTCTTTTTCCTTCTTTTCATCTTAGTTCACAACCACGCAGACAAGAGGGAGGAAGTGAACCCACAAAATAATCCTACAAGGAGTGGATTTGCAAGGAGTGATGTACCTTGAATTTTTCCAATATACAGAGGAATGTTAGGCGATCATAGCTTCTCGTGGGCTAACTGTGAATGGTGACTATTATGCAGATCATCTGTCCGACCAGCTCAAGACCGAAATCCGATACAAGTAGCCAAGATCTGCATGGCAATGGTAGAGAGCCTCCGCCAGAGGGACAGTAAAGGCAATATACTTCTGTTGCTGATGCTGCCCGCCAGGAGTGGTGTAAGGAGGGAGGAGGAGGGAGAAGGAATTGAAAATAAAGGATGGAAAGGAAGAGATAAGGTTGAGGGAGAGGATTAGAGAGAATATGGGAAGGATAGAAGAGAATAGTGATGGATCGTAGAGAAGAAGGAGATAAAAAAAATAAGAAGGAGGTAACCTTTTTTATTGAATGCTTACAGACATTCACCCATGACCTTACAACTTAAGAGTCTTTGTCCTCTTCCACATTTATTCCCTCGTCCAGTGTTCCTTCTCTCTCCTCCTCCTCTCTTCTTTACAACCAACTCCTACAACACTAGCAGCTCTTCCTTCTCTTCTTCCTCCTCTTCTCCTTACTGTCCATTCCCCACCTCCTCCTCTTATTTCCATGAGCGGGTTGGTCAAGAAAAGTTCAGTGCAGTGGCATCCGGTTGGCCTCACGAACCCCGGGTCAAGCAGTCCTTAGCACCTCCCGCCTCCTAACCATGACAAGTGTAGTATTCTTCACTAAAATAACACGTCACCAGTAAACCCCCCAGACTGTCAGTAAATATGAGAGTATCTAACGTGAAATATGACTATAGAGTGAAAAATATCCTAGCTTTATAAACACGTAATTTTAAATTTTATATAATAGACCCGATATTAAAATGAAGAAAAGTTACATAATTAAAACATAACCCAGAATATTACAACACAAACAGATAGTCTTTAACGTCAATATTATTTAGATAGTAAAGTAAACAATAAAAGAAGGAAATGTATTGCCTATAAAAAAAAATATAAACTAATAAAGCAAAAGAAGTAATTTTAATCATTCTATGTTACGATGGTTCAATCATAAGATTTCCCGTCGTAGTACCGAAATTTATGAATGGAGGCTCAGTGAAACAAAAATAAAGAACAGGTGTAAGAGGCAAAACACATGTCAGCCTTGTTACGAGAGATAGGCTAAACAGCTGGGCAAAAACAAGAGGGTTATACTGACAAACATGAAGCCAAACTCACCCTGAAAAAACAAACTCTTTCTCGTGGGGAAACTAGGATATCTATTTCTATCTTAACTCGTGATGTTGAACCGTACCCCTTCCTCTCCGTCATGTCACACACAACCACACACGCACGCACCACGCACGCACGCACGCACACACGCACACACACACACATCTGTGAGGGAATTACTACGTCAGGTCCCTCCTAACACCATCTGGGAGGAGTTACTACACTACGTTTTTGTTCAACACCTACAATAATCTGTATGTTCACTGTATGTTCCTTTACCTTCTCTAATGAAGGCTTTTGTTAAACCACCAATGTATGTAATAAGTCATTTATGTCCAGTGTATATTTTCAGCCTCGGCTGCAGAACTTTTCAATAAACCGTCAATTATTATTATTATTATAAATTATCCACATTCACAATACACAATACATTTAAATGATCCTTTATCTTAAGTCTTGAAAAAAAAAGATAATGGAATGTTTGTGTCCGGTGGTGTAGCTGAACAATACTCCTGTTCCTCTACACCTGACCTGACGCGCTACACCCAGATGGACCAATACGAGACATCTCACAACTTGATAAACAACTCCCTTTAACAGACAGAAAGACAGACAGACAGACATAGATATAATATCATTCACTCATATATACACACACACACACTTAACGTTACATACATACATACATACATACATACCTACATACACAGTACTTACTATTTCTTATTCTTTCTCAAACACACACACGTACATAATGCATACAATATCATACACATAAAAAACAATTGTTAATACGTGTAATGACTGTCTGGTTTGGTGAAAGAGAGAGAGAGAGAGAGAGAGAGAGAGAGAGAATCAGTGCTTAGTTTCTGGTCCTTAATTATTCGTAAGTCTTTCTTTATCCCTTAAAGCCGCTTACACGAACAGAACAGTCTCTCTCTCTCTCTCTCTCTCTCTCCCCTAAACCTACTCAAATAAAACAAAGGCAATTGAGAGTTACAACTCGGTACTGCTGGAGACATATAGCTTATGGGCGGGATTATAGCGTCTGACTGTAAGATGTGCTTATGGGAGGGAAGGAGGAGGAGGAGGAGCAGGAAGAAGATACGAGTTTTGGAGAGAGAGAGAGAGAGAGAGAGAGAGAGAGAGAGAGAGAGAGAGAGAGAGAGAGAGAGAGAGAGAGACTGTATGCCTGGGTGTGTGGGGACTGCATGATAGATTTCCAGGGGAGGAGGAAGAGGAAGGGAGGAGAAGGGAAGAAGAGGAGGAAAAGAGAAGAATGAGAGAAGAAGGGGAAGGGATGGGGAGGAAAGGTAGGGAAGGAGGGAAGATATGAACTCTGGAGGAGAGAGAGAGAGAGAGAGAGGAGACTGGGGTCAGATATGTTCGTGTGTGTGTGTGTGTGTGTGTGTGTGTGTCAGAGGAAGGATGTAGGATAAGATTTAGGAGGCGTGGCGGGAGGACTTATGGTCGGTGCGGACTTGCAATGGCACCAGCACCACTGTCTAACACTTCGGCCCTGGGGACTCCACACTCTGGCCCTGGGATCCACACTTGATCCTGGGACCCACACTGGCCCTGGGACCCACACTGTTCCTGCACCACACCTGGCCTGGGACCCCTGGCCACTCTCTGGCCCCTGGGATCCACACTCTTGATCCTGTGGACCCACACCTCGGCCCTGGGACCCAACATTCTCCTCGGCCCTGGGACCACCTGGCCCTGGATCCACACTGACCTGGACCCACACTCGGTTCTGGGATCCAGTACTTGATCCTGGACCCACACTCAGTCCTGGGACTCCCACACTCGGCTCCTGGGACCCACACTCTGCCCTGGGACCCACACTCTGCCCTGGGACCCACACTGGCCCTGGCACCACACTCTGCCCTGGGACCCACACTGGCCCTGGGATCCACTCTGATCCTGACCCACACTGGCCCTGGGACCTGTTACACTCGGCTCCTGGGACCCACACTCTGCCCTGGGACCCATGACCTGGCCCTGGGATCCACACTGATCCTGGACCCACACTCGGCTCCTGGATCCACACTCGGCCCTGGGACCTACACTTGGCCTCTGGGACCCACACTCCACTGTTTAACCCATACACTCTGCCCTGGGACCTACACTCTTTTTTCTGGACTACACTCTGCCCTGGGACCCAGCACTCTGCCCTGGGACCTACACCTTGCCCTGGGACTCCACACTCCGTCTGGGCCCACATTTTGCACTGGGGACCCACACCATGTCTGGGGACCCACTCTCTGCCCTGGGACCCACACTCTGCCCCACCCACACTTTGCCCTGGGGCTCACATCTGTCTGGGACCCATATTTTGCACTCACCCACATCTGTCTGGGACCCATAGTCTGCTCTGGGACCCACACTCTGCCCAGACCCACACTCTGCTCCCAAGACCCACATTTTGCTCTGGGACCCACACTCCAGGGACCCACATTTGCACTCGGCTGGGACCCACACCTGGGTCTGGGACCCACACTCTGCCCTGGGACCCACAGGGGTCTGCCCCTAGCTCCACACTCAAGTGGTCTCAAGCACTTCTGCCCTGGGACCCACACACTCTGCCCTGGGACTCCACACTCCTGCCCTGGGACCCACACTCTGCCCCACCCTGCAAAGGTCTGCTCTGGGGGTAATCACACCTGTCTGGGGACCTGTTAGTCTGCTCCTGGGACCCACATCAAGTTCTGGGACCTACACTCTGCCCTGGGATCCACACTCTGCCCTGACCCACATTAGTCTGTTTGGGACTCCACACCTGTCTGGGACCCAGTTCACTGGGACCCCCACTGTAGTATGCATGGTTTAAATGCTGCTCTTGTTTCCTGCACCTTCATACACGCTCTCAGATCTTTTGTTTAAGCACTATTCGTTTCAGTGATGTTGATTTTTAGTAGAAATGTAGAAAAGGGAGGGCTGTTGAAGGGTGATATTGCTTCTTCTGAGAGAGTGTAAAACACACACACACACACACACACACACACACACACACACACACACACAAAATAGAACTTTCAACCAAATTAAGAATGAAAAAAAACTAAATGCAACCCAAGATACAATTGTATATATGAATTTTAGTAGCAGGAAGGAACCGACCAAAGAGTTAGCGTGAGGCAGCTGTCGGACGAAGTTTTCTTCAAGCTGCTTGTCAGTTTATATGGCTATGAAAGAGCAAACGAAATATTTCCTGAGAGTTGTAGGTGAAAAGAGGAGGAAAGGGGAGAGATGGGAGATAAGTGGAGAGGGAAGGAGGAAGAAAGGAGGGGAAGGAGGAAGAAAGTTAGAGGAAGGAGGGAAGAAAGGAGGAGGAAATGAAAGGAAGAAGGAAGGAAGGAAGAGACAGGTCTGGCTACTATATGTTTACAGACGCTAATCGTTTCAACAAGGTATACAAAAGTCAACAAATGGGAAGTAGTTTATTATACAATAGAGACGAGGAAGAAGAGCACTGCACACAGAGCACCAAGGACACAGAATCATGAACGTAGCTACAAGCCAGGAACACTACGAGGAACAACGATATCCTGACGATGTTCCATGGGTCATCTTTTAACACTACAGGTCAACAACCTCCACTGGATTAAGATTATAAATTATCTCAGAGCGGTGGTTGAGGTATTAAGGCCTACAGTTAGAGTCACAAGTCAGGGACGATTTTACTTTTATAGGAAGTTTCCATAACTCCTTTAAAGTGAGTTTTGTTGAGGGTGTTACATTAACTGAGCAGAAAGATATATGTTAAAAATTTATAGTATGATAAATTTGGTTAAAAGTTCATACAAATATATATATAGTATATATATGTTACTGGTGTTCTGTAAAAAATCTAATGAGAAGTGTAACAGAAGATGTCATCCTCACTTGAACTTGCAAAAAAAAATCGACTAAGAATCCTGATAGTAAATAATGTTGGCAAATTCAGCAATAAAGTCATCGAGGTAATTGTTTTTTTGTGAAATAGTTAATAGTCGTATGAACCTGCATGAGCCAATTGTTAATTATTTTTTATTTGCATTATCAAATATTTAATTTAATGTTCAAATACGGTAAGCATTTAATAAAATGACTATATTTTTTCAGTCAATTAACTAGATGCCTAAACACACACACACACACACACACAATATATATATATATATATATATATATATATATATATATATATATATATATATAATATATATATATATATATTATATATATAATATATATATATATATATATATATATATATATATATATATATATATATAAATATATATATATATATATATATATATATATATATATATATATATATATATATATATATATATATATATGCGCAAATTGTAGGCGTGATCTAGTTATATATATTTACATATATATATACAAACCGGTTTGAAATTTATGGACTTAATCACTTGACTTGGGGTTTATTAAAATTTAATAGATGGTAAAGGCAGGAAGTGCCCCTTGAGAAAATCCCAAACCAGCACAAGAACACTTAAATCTACTACACAAAGAACTGTCCGTGCATCTGGAAGAGGAAGCCTGTGACTGGGATGAATGAGACACACTGTAAAATTTAGACAATTATATATTCCTCCAACACTACAAACACAATCAAATAATGGTACACCAATATATGCATCTCTTAACTTAAAACTTTAAACACTACTTGGGGAATAAAAGTTAACATGACATAGAAATTATTAGAATACAGCAAACAACAATAAATTTGAAGTATTAAGAAATGTTGTCGCCCACATGAAGGCCTTAAGGCCTAACAAAATAATATCAGTCACTGAGAGAATAATTTTAAGAAATTAAATACTACAATGAATAGGCTTTAAGGGCACTCAAAAAAATTATAAGCACCTCAACAGATGCACATTTCCTAACCTAACTTAAACTACTACTTGGGAACAAGGTTATACCTGAGACAGAATTATGAAGAACAATCAGATGCATTAAAAGAATCAATCACAGTATCAGTTCCACCTAATGGCACAAACATTCAAACAATATTATCAAAATTATTTAAGAAATATTAACTACACACGCCATGATAATATCAGTCTGAGGAGTGGTGTTAACTACACCCAATAATGAAGATAAAAGTCCTCTAGGTATCTCCTAGAGTCCCAGAATCCACGTCTCAGTGTGTGAATAATATACTCAGATAGCCTCAGTGCCCAGTGCGTCCATGGGCAGGACGAGAGTGAGCCAATCAGACCTTGCAGTTGAGAGAACTTTAGCTTCCTGTTAGCAAGAGGTTTCACTAGCTGCTCGGGACATGTGGGTTGTGCACCGGAGTGGTAAGAACTGATCACCCACTGCTGATGCTGGTCCCTGTCGTTTTGAGGTTGAACTGCTCACCAAGAGATCCTTGCTACCAAACAGTGACAGGCCTACACTGATCGGTCCAATGGCGACAACGCCACCCCATCATCAACGGCAGTCAACCTCGCAGTCAACTCCCGTCAACCAGTCAACCCGTCAACTCCAATCAAGTGGGTTCTGACGGAAACCCTGAAATGAACTCACTGTTAGCTACTTATCACTGCCCTATCTAACCCTTCGAGACGAATGAGACTTACTTGTTATACTGCAATAGCGCACAGGTGACCAGGCCACGGACTATTTCTGATGGACGCGCCGAACGTCTTGTCGTGTGAATGTCTCGGGACTGGGCCTAGCCAGCGCCGCCTCTCTCTCAAGGCGTTACCTTAGGTCTACGGATATATTTACCGCCTAACAATAACTCCTTGGGACACCACACATTATTCAGACTGCTAAACGATCTATAATACTTCAAATTCAATAATAGTCCCTTAACTTCATGAATCGCATCATTATTAATTCGGTAAATTACATTTAGAAATGAAGCCTCGCCATGAGCAGGCAGCGCTCCCTCAGATAGACCTTGAACGAAATCATGGCGAGCATTTGAAAATACTCTGAAATTTCTGGTATCACATATATATATATATATATATATATTATATATATGTATATATATATATATATATAGGTTAAAAATGCTTTGAAAACCTTGATCTTGATGTATTTATTTATTTTGTGTCCTTTTTTTTTCTGACCTGATCTAGTCACGTCACCCAACTCTCTTCAAGCTCCCTACGTTGTGTTGGTGTGGGGATTAGTGGATGTCATCATTATGACCTGACCTCATGTTTTAGGTCAGATTAAGCCTCTCTCTGTCCATGTAATCCAGTTGCTCTTGAAGATGTCTTAAAAAAGACGAAAGCAAGGTACCTGTTGTTTCCACTGACCATAAACCTCTTCATGTAGGAAAAGGGATGATGGTCCAGCAAACACAGTACAGTAGATGGAGTCGGACTTGAATCCAGTTTGGATATATTTACATACTGATGCTCTAATATACTGTACATGTTCCACGTGTACAATGTTTACTGCAGAACAGTCCAAAAATATATACGTGACACGCGTCATCTTCACCAAATTACTCTAATTAAAGAAGAATACACATAAAACGACGGCATCAACACTCTACCATGTGGAACCCTAATTACAAAAAATATCAATTACAGTTACCAATAATCATAGGAGGGTGAGAGAAACAGTGATCCGTGTTAACAAGTGCTTACAGTCCACACACACGACACGAGGAGGGAATGTATCAAGTTTTATAGCCCCAACAAACGGCTGAACATGTGTGTGTTACCACCAGCGTCACGCAGGCTTCTGCTGCCTATGAGGCAACCTCACATTATTATGATAAACTTTGCTGAGCCTACCACATTACATCCTATTTAAGGAAACTATTGATATTCCACGTCTATTTGTGCCAACTTTTCTTTTACAGACACAGGACACATCACCCGCGGCCTAATATCTAACTACCATGTTCTGAGACTGTCATTGTGTCGTAACCTCCAACCACACAGTTAAGTCCTGATGATGACAATGTGACATCTCAAGAATACAGTCTTAATCAACTACCAAAAAACCCATCCACAACAAGCGTTCAATTCACGCCTTCTCTCGTGCTCTCTTACTGAACCCTGGCTGGTGTGACTCTCTCCCGCGAGGCTTTATTTATCTTCTTCCTCGATAAAACAAACAGATCAAACGAAGATTAGCCCCAGCGTATTTCTCCGAACGATAAAAAGACCCAAACGCTAACCTACCCCAACATAACGCAACCTAACATAACCCAACCCACCCTAACCTAAC